AATGTCCCTTGGTGTGGGATTCTCTAGGGTCTGTAATGAGGATTTGGAGTCCGAAAAAAGTACTAACTCTTGTATATCTGCCTCAATTGCCCAAGAAACAGCCAGGTAGATGGCGGTCAGCTCAGCCGGGTATGTACTTGATTCGTCATTTATTCTGACAGACTGTTGGTGTATAGTTTCGCCGTTGAGTTTGACTAAGAAGCCACTACCAACTTTGCATTCATATTCGTTGGTAATATTTTTTGTAATTCATATACTTTTTGTAATACGACAACCTTTACAATAACTTTTTCACTCAAAACTTTGAAGCATATACATCAATTACGTTTCCACGAATGACACGTATAATTTTTCGCAAATTAAATCTCTAACCTTACAATTCAAGGATTTTTCTGTAGCAGTCAATTATTAATCAAAATCTTTAAAACGAACCAATAACCAAAATCAGTTGTGTTTTTTAAACTGCAAGGAAAAGTGCTGCTGTTTTAAAATTAGCGAATAAATCCTCTGTTTTTGTGTTCATTTGTAAAAGATTTTTTAAGTATCTTATATCTCATAAATAGTTTTTATAATGAGCTCTAATTTTTTTCTTTAAATGAATGATTAATGTGTTTTACACTATTTTTTTTAGTGCCGGACAAAAACAACTGGTGTGCTTAGCTCGAGCACTTTTGAAAAACACGAAAATTTTAGTTCTGGATGAAGCAACAGCCTCGGTTGACATACAGACAGACAACTTCATTCAAAACACAATACGCACAGCATTTGCAAAGAGTACAGTTATTACAATAGCACATAGGCTAAACACTGTACTAGACTACGACAAGTAGGTATACTCTGTTTAATAAGAAAAAATATCAAATTTTATAGTCTGGAAAAAAAATCGCACTCCCAGTAATTTTTATGACGACGTGGACGTCACTGACGTGGTTAGACGACGTGGACGACGCCTGAGGTGACAGCACTATCAACTAGAGTACTTTCAAAACAAATTTAATGAGCACCTTACTACGTATACACGTTGGTTGTATTATCGGCTATCGGGTTGTATTATCGACTACCCTCAGCTCTCCACACAATGGTGCGAGCGACGCCTTAACCGAATATAAGCAATTGAAACTTTTTAAAATATACCATTTTATTTTAAATGCACTAGAAGAACTTTTTTAAAGAAAAATAAATAAGTTAAAACCGGAATTCTTAAGGTAATCGCTGATTAATTAATTGATTGATGTATATTGTTCGCACTAGAGTCATGTTTGACTAGAAACGCCTAAAACGAGGTTTAAAACAAAGCAAATTGTTTAAAATTTAGAAAACTCGACTATAATCAAGATGACTAAGTTAATAACCGAATTGTAAAAAAAATGAAGTGATTTTTGTCACAATGCTTAACATCTCCGTTTATAAAGATATTTTATTTAAAAAAAATATTTATTTATTTGTACGTTTCTCAAAAGCGCATTCCTTAAAAAATTCTTATTCAGTTTTATCAACACAATATATTCAGCTCAGTTTTCAATCTCTGCAAAAACGAAAATTTATTTTCTTTTTTATTTCAGAATCGTTGTTTTGGAAAACGGAACAGTGTTAGAAGTTGGAAAGCCTTCAATTTTACTTCAAGACAAGGGATCGAGATTTCACGAAATGTGCGAAGATGCAGGACTTATTTAACAACAGTAACATATCAACAACAGTATTTGCATATCTTTCAAGACGATAATGTTTAAAACGTTCGCCGCGCATATTCAGCTTTAAATTGTGCATAGCATANTTTTCTTGCACCACCAGTGACGTCATACTTTGTTTTTCGTATTTTTCTCGTAAACTATGGATCGTGCAGGAACGCTTCTTTGGGCAGTTTTTATGTACTCCCAACGAGGAATCTAGCTGTGCAGAGTTTATGCGTTTCGGGACATATGTTAGCCAATTCTTCCACTGAGTATCTTTCGAATGAATAGATTTAGTAAAAATATGTGAATATTATATATTTAATTAAGGCTAAAATAAGAGCTTTCTCTGAGAAATTTAAATTTTTTTTTAAAAAATGTCACAGAGTCCATTCTTTTAGAAAGCGCTGTATTATCTTCTAAAACTTTTCAATTTGCTTAAGAAGTTTTTGAGTTATGCGAAAAACGCAAAAATTAACATTAACAAAAGAATTTCAAACTTTAAATCGGTATCCTGGCCGAGCTATTGGTAACATATTTCCCAGATTGTGGTTGCCCCTTATATTTCGAGATTCAGAAATCCGAATCCGTTGAAAAAAACGGTATGTTTATTCAGAGAAAGTCTGATCTATATCTGACTTTGTTAATTAAAATATCATCTGCAATTAGAATATGTGAGATCACCCCCTCGAGAGATTAAGATTGATTCCTAGAACGAAAAGTTTGGATCATTAGATTAAAAATTATTCTGGGTGTTCTATTTTTTAAAAATATGCTTCCTGTACTATAATGTACAGAAATTTCATGTGCCAATATAAGTTATCACTTTCTTGATTGTTTTTAACATGCTTCTGAATTTGACAGTCAAATTAAGGAAGATCCTTCGTATAACATATATATAAATAGTGTCAACTGTGGGTAAACCTTTTCTTGAGGAGAAATTAAAGGATGTAGATCAATGATTCTCAGCCTTTTTTTGAGGGCGGCACACTTTAAACTATTTCGATATTTGACGGCACACAATGAAAAAAATTTGTTTCAAAGTTGTTTACTTACCTATAATACACTGTGTAAAATAGTTTGTGATATTAATTTTGAATGTGAAATAAAAAAATGTGTACTACAAAAGCACGTTTATTAAGGGATTAATTATTTCTTTCGACTAATTTTTTATTAGTTAGAAAAATTATTATGTTTTTTGCTAATTATTAATTGTTAGCTTGTTTTCTATAGCTATTAACTGACATTTTTTGTGATTTTTTGTTAACTAGTTCTTTTGCTGATTATTAATTGTTAGCCTATTTTTTTGTTAGTTATCCTTTGCCAATTTGTTTTTATAACTATTAATTGCAAAGCTTATTTTAGTGATTAACTTTTATTTCCGTTTGAAAATTAATATTTAGCTTGCTTAAAGCATGGAAAAATTATAAAT